GAACGAGCAGGGCCCGAAAATGAAGCCGGCGCCTCAGCGAGAGCAGCATTTTGAAAAAAATGCAAGCGAAAACCCAACTCCTCCGGGGAAACCTGTGTAAAAAAGACAACAACAACAACAACAACAACAATCATTTAAGACTGGGGACACTCCGTTCTCACCAGTGCCAGGGTTTTCATAGGAGGCGGGCAATACCCCCACTTTGTGGGGGGGCCGGTTCAAGCTCTACCAAATTTCCAAACGACTCTTCGCCACCACCCACACCCAGCTTCCCGCCCTATGACGTTCGGACACTTCACTTCGTGGCATGCGGACGACCGTGGCTACTATTCAGGGCCCCGCGGCCGACGACGACGGCGTGCGCGCGCGAAGAAAAAACGAATGTGTCCCGCATGGTATTATTTGACAGGGATGATGGCCCTGGCAGGTGCGCAACCGTTGTCGCAGAAGTTCGAAAAAGTTGCTCGCAAAAGCCCGTTTGACAGAAATGTTTAAAAAGTGTTGGGTTTCCTACGAATCCGCAAGAGCGCGCGGGATGAGATTTTGACATTTTTTTGTTGAAAAACCATTGGTTTTTTGATGTTTTTATGTTAAAATCGCTCCGAACACTAAGCTTTTGGAAGGATTTCGTCTTGCGCGCGCGAATGTCCACTTTACCTTATTTTTTGCAAGGGATTCTTGAAATTTGATTATATTAGAACAAGAAATGTCATTTTATAGTGTTTTTTGCAAGGGAAAGCGGGGGGGAACAAAACAACCGGATCTTGATCACATCGAATTACCTGAGGCTTCCTCACGAAAATGATGAAAATGTAGCTGCGGCCTAGGCGGCGCAGGGGGGCCGTGCACCAGGGGTCCCAACAATAATTATTCTTTAGAATTAATAATGTTCAACAACAACAACAACAACAACAACAACAACAAAAGTACGCGGGGGGGGGTCGGACACTTTCAAACCGTCATCAGGGGAAGAGGGAGAGAAGTATTCATATTGAGAAATTGTACAAGAGAGACAGGGGGGGATGGGGGGAGGGAAAGGAGAGAGAAGGGGGGCGGGGGAGCAGGAGAGAGGGGGAGGGGGACAGGAAAGAGGAGGGGAGGTGGGGAGGGGGGTCCAGGATCATCACCATCTCCATCACCATCACCATCACCATCACCATCACCATCACCATCATCACATCACCATCATCATCATCATCATCATCATCATCATCATCATCATCATCACATCATCATCATCATCATCATCATCATCATCATCATCATCATCATCATCATCATCATCATAAATCATCATCATCATCATCATCATCACCATCACCATCGTCATCGTCATCGTCATCGTCATCGTCGTCATCATCATCCTCATCCTCATCCTCATCATCATAAGCAGCATCATAATCATCATCATCATCATCATCATCGTCATCATGATCGTCATCATCATCATCATCATCAGCATCATCATCATCATCACCATCATCATTATCATCATCCGGAGCATCATCCGGAGCGTCCAGGATCGGCGGCACTGGCCGGAGGCCAGTACAATAGTTCAGCATGGAATCAGTGCGCTTGTAATGTGCCCAGAGACCGCCAAAGGACAGCTCGGGGTGGCCACGGAGCCTACCAAGCATGCCCCTACGAGGCTAGCACCCTTAAAAACTAAAAGAGAGATGTTATGTTTAGGTTCTCATCTTCTCGCTTCTGATGATCCCAAGATCGCCCAGTGAGCCCCGAGAGGGGCCCACATCGGCTCCAACAAGGCCCCCACTAAGAACGCCTTTGTGGCTGACTCCTGGTCTCTCCGCGCCTCTCCGCTGTCACGATTAACTAAGGAATCAAGTCTACAGGCCTTCGCGGTGCCCGTGCTGAAAGCCGTTCAGCTTACCGAAGAACATAGGCAAAGGGGAATGTGCAGATGATAGGGCGGCTACCCTTTGTGTCACTGCATGTCCCTACACAGCCCTGCTCAAGGCAACTCGCCTAGAAATCGTTGCTGGATGGGCTGGTGGGAACAAGAAAAGCGTCAAGAACTGTTACACTCTCTCTCTCTCTCTTTCTACTCTTTCACGTGTCAGCGCAGGTGGGGGCGGAACTTGCGGAGTCCAAAACTGAACTAGCGGAGCAGCCAGCAGAGGCAATCTGGGGGAGCCTGAAAGCCAGCGGAAGACGACTGTCAGGAAGCTTCCAAGGACGCCCGGGAAACCTGCAGGCCTGAAGTGGGAGCTACGCACGAGTTCGGAAGCGCCGCGAATCAGCTGCGCAACGGTTTGCAGCACACGCACTGGGGACGAAGGGAAAACGCTTCCAGGACACGCTGGAAATTCTGGAACGGCGCTGCGACGTTCCGAGCCTACTCTGTGCTGCTAGCTTCTAATCTGAAGCACTCTTAGCTCTCCAAGAGAGATCCGGGAATAAATGCTACATGGCAACGCATGGGACGGACAGCAGTACTACGCCACTCGTCACCCGGCAGCGAAATGGCGGAACAAATCAACGTATGTATTCGACTCGCCTCGTGGCAGGGCAGGGGGCGAACTAATGCAAGTATAGTATTACTCCATGCGTAGCATTGCGGGGGGAAAGCGAGACCCATAAAACTCGACTTCACTCGTCGCATGCCAGTAATGTTTTGTCGATAAGGAGGAAAGGTAGCGCGCGACCGAACCTGCCACGCAGCGGCCGGCCTACGGGCCGCGGCCCTTGGCTCAGGCCGAGGGAGAAACAGACCCCTGCGGACCGCGCCCATCCGCCTTCGCGCTGCCAGGCCACGGCGCAGTTCAGAGAGGAAGAGGAGCAGGAGGAGGAGGCGGAGGAAGGCTGCGATCGACGATTCCTTCAGCCACCAGGAACGGGAACAGGAGGCGGAGCAGGAGGAGGCGGAGCAGGAGGACTGTACCCCTCGGGCCAGCCGAAAAGCCTCCTGTGGTTTGGCAGAGCCTTACGAAGCTACTCGGGAGGCCCGAGGCGTTCTGAACCTTCTGAGAAGGTCTGCCCCCACGTGCCCCCCCCTGGGGGCGCGCCGCCGATTGACGTCGATGAGGGGACCCACATCAAAGTCGTCTCCCTCAGTGCGCATCCACCGTGGTCGGCGCCGCGGGGAACCCCGAAGGCGATCAGTTTGGACCAGGAGGCTGGGCAGCCTCAGGCGCTAACCCCCGGAGGGGAGCTCGTCGATGTTGCCAGTGGCTGCAACGACGTCTCTGGTGCTGCAGGACAGCCTTGCTGTTGGGGATTGCTGTTCCCTCCTCCACTGCAGCAGGTGCATCGTTGGCGCTTGAAGGGGCACACGTGACACACGTCCGCACTGGAGCCTACGGGGAAAGCTAGTGGCAGGACGGCTTGGACAAGCAGCGTGATGTGTCCTGCCCACGGCACTGGAGAATGGAAATGTGCGACAATCCCACGCACTTGCGGGCCTGGAGTGCCGCAGACCACCTCAGGCTTAATGCAACGGTCGTCATAACCGTGGTGGACGTGCACAGCAGCCATCGAACATAGACATCATCCGAAGAACCAGCACCACCGTCATTATAATTACCGTCATCGACCTAAGCATCGCAATCACAATCATCTTCATTGCATCGCCCTAATCATCAGCATCATCGACATCGGCCTCACAATCCCCATCATCAGCATGAGCATCATCATCACCACCACCACCATCATAATCATCATCATACTCATCATCAGCATCACCATCATCATCGTCATCATCATCAGCAGCAGCATCATCACCAATATCATCAGCATGTTCATCACCACCACAACTATCACTTTCATCATCGTCATCATCATCAGAATCAGCAGCAGCATCAGCATCACCCCCATGATCCTCATTATCATCACCACCATCATCCGCAATCTCACCCTCATCCTCATCCTCATCCTCACCCTCATTCTCATCCTCATCCTCATCAGCACCACAATCACAATCACAATCATCATGGTCACCAGCTGATCCTCATCAGCATCCTCAACATCAGCATCAGCATCAGCATCAGCATCATCAGCCTCATCATCGACGCCATCGAACTTCAATCATCATCACCATCATCGACAACAACATCAAAATCTGCATCATCACCATAATCATGTTGCTATACGTTCCTCCTGTCACGTCCTCCTCCTCATCCTCCTCATCTTCCTCTCCGCCGCATCTTCGTTTTCCTCTTCCTCCTCTCCCTCCTCCTCCTCCTCCTCCTCCTCCTTCCCCTCGTCCTCCTCCACCTACTCCTCCTCCTCTTCCTCCTCGTCGTCATCATCACCACCACCATCATCGTCATTATCATCGTCATCATCATCACCACCACCACCACCATCATTTTCCTTCGTTCCGACGCTGCTTCAAGGCATAGCCGTGCAATTACAACCTACCCGATCCTATTGAAAACTACCCCGGAACTCCTCGTCGATGGTATCATCATCATCAGCATCAGCATCATCATCATCATCATCATCATCATCATCATCATCATCAGCATCATCAGCATCAGCATCAGCATCAGCATCAGCATCAGCATGATCATCAGCATCAGCATGAGCATCATCATCATCATCATCATCATCATCATCATCATCATCATCATCATCATCATCATCATCATCATCATCATCATCATCATCGCTCCCTCCCTCCCTCCGTCCCTCCCTCCCTCCCTCCCTCCCTCTCCCTCCCTTCTCCGTCCCCTCACTCCCTCCCGCGCACCCCCCATTCTCCCTCCCTCCCGCGGGCAACAGCACTCTTTGTCTCCGTCCCACGTGCCACTGCTCAGGAGCTGGCCGCGCCTGCACTCCTCCACTGCTGCGCACCAGAGGCCCAAACCAGCGCGCGCATCGACAAGCCCGCCTTCCCTCCCTCCTCCCTCCCTCCTTCCCTCTCTCTCTCCCTCCCTCCCTCCTGCCCTCCCTCCCTCCTGCCCTCCCTCTCTCTATCCCTCCCTGCCTCTCTCCCTCCCTCCCTCTTCGCCAACGCCAGGCCACCCCATCACGACGGCCTGCGCCGAAGCTGGGCACCTGCGGCTGCAGGGGGGCGCACGCCCCGGGGCCCTGGAGCTGGCCCGCGCCAGGCCTCAGCTCCTGCGCGGCGGGCGGAGGGGCCCAGCGGCCGAGGAGTACAAGAGAAATCCAAAATCCATGCTCGCGTCGCGAAAAAGAGCAACGGAGAATTCGGGGCACGTTTCGGCCTCTGGGAGCCCACGCTAGGCCTCAGGGCCTTCAAAAAGCGATTGGGTCTGACAAGCCGGTCCCAGGGAAAGGATCGGAACTTCTGGGGACATCGCATGTCTGGGATGGCACCTGCGGAAGACTTAGGAGGAGGCCAGCTGTAAAAGATCAGCGTTTCCGGATTGGCTGGTTCTGGGCCACTGGGCCAGAACAGGCCAGTGTGGAGCATGGCAGCACGCGGGGGGGTGACGTCATCGCGCAGGCCATGCCCGCGCGTAGCGCCGCCCCAGAATGCTCGGTGACAATAAAATAGCGGGGCGTATTACAGATGTATATAGATATGGTTATATGTTTATATATATATGCGTACCTGCAAACAAACATGCACGTACATATGCATACACACATGTATGCTTAGATGAATGGTATTGCATATATACACACAAACATACACGCATGAGTCCACATCTACATATGCATGTGTATATGCATCGACATATACATATACATCTACATATACACATACACCTACACCTACATTTACATCTACGTACATATATATATACAGTTGTATATACATATACATCGACCTCTACATACATAGGTACAGCTACATCTACATCGACATAAACATCATCACAAATATGCACACATAAATATATACGTATGAAGATACATATACGTATACATATACACAACTAGATGTACAAATATACACCTACACATACTGGCATTGGCATGTTGAACAAACACTGATAAGGATAACATACACCCTTAACCAGTCTCTACTGAAGTATGCATTGCTACACTCCTCCTCGCCTAGGCGCCAGCTGCACCGCAGCCAACAGCAAGCATTCCTGCCCGCTCACATGGATGTCCCAGCCTCTGACCCAAGCCGCGATCACACCGCTGCGTTCAGAGACACCTCAGTCCGCCCCTCCAGGATGACGAACCCGCACCGATCCATGAAGAAGTCGATCGTATCTCCGAATTGTGCTTCGCCATCACCGCTGTGTTCAGGTCGCTGGGGACCTTGATCAGCCACGCGCGCCTTTCGTGGAGTGCCTCACCTTTCCCGCTCCGAGCCTCAGCGCCACGCCGCACCAGGCCGTCGCGTCCGTCTCGACGACAAGGTCCTTCACCATGCCGAAATCCTTGCGCGTGCTCTGAGCAACGAGTCCGACGCTAGCGCCACGCACGATCGCGTAGAACTCCGGCTCCCCATTCGATAAGGCCATCACCGCCTGGGCGTTGGCGGTCGCCTTGAGCAGGTGTGCGCCATGATACAGCGCGATCCCTGCAGTGCTCTTCCTAGTCAGCACGCAGCCCGCGCGGCCCGAGTCGCACGCCACCATCAGCACGTCCGGCTCGATCTGCTGGACGAACTGCTGCACGACCCTCGGCCTGTGCATCAGGTAGCGCCCGATGTGCTTCACCATCTCCATGGCCACTTGAATCGGCCTGCCCATCCACCTCGCCGCCTCTTTAGCCGCGCAGAGCACGTCAATCCCGCCCATCGCCGGTTAGTTTCTCCTCACGCAGACGCTCTTGCAAAGCGAAGCCTAGGCAGCACCAAGGGGGGGGATTATGTCGGCCCCTCCTCCGTCCTTTTGATGCCTGGCGACGCGACCGGCTTGCTGCCCCCCCTAAGCCCGAGCCCCAGCTATGCCAAGACGATCTCGGCATGGCGGGAGTCGGCCCCCCACTGCAAGCACGGCGCGCCGGCCTCCGTCTCGGTGAGCTCGACAATCCTGTCGAGCAACGTGATCTCCCGCAAGTCGCCGTCGCCCCAGCCGAGCACTCTGCGCGCCTTCGCCAGGAGATGCTTGGACAGCTCGGTCTTGAACCACTCCAAGGCGTCGCCATCGCCATCACTCACGAAGTCGCCCCCGTGGTAAGAGAGCAGGACCTCCTTCCCGTCGCGCCTGCACACAGATCTTGAAGCCCATCTCGCGCAGCACCTCCATCACCCTGTCAGCGAAGTCCGCCGCTGCGCCCCTCGCGCCGCATATGATCTTGAGCAGCAGCGCGCAGCAGTAGCCCTCGCGACGTCGCCCGGCCAGGAGCTGCACGAAAACCAGCCGGCGCGCCGGGCTGTGGATGCGCGCCCGGCGGACGTCAATGAACATGAGCTTGCGCCGCCTGCTGTCGCCCCGCTGCTTGCCCATGATCTTGCCGAAGAGCATCTCGACGCCGTCCTGCGGCGGGGCGGCCGAGTACACATCGCGCCTGGAGATCCCGACCTTCGCCAGGGCGCTCTTCAACTCCTTCGCGACCAATGCGCACCCCACCTCCGGGCAAGCGCCGTCGCCCTTGCTCGCGTCCACCCACATGACCTGGATGGGCTTCGACTTGGTCTCCTCCCAGCAGAGAAACTCTGGGACCTCCTCGCGCACCTTCATCTCGCCCACGTATTCGAGCCCCTCCTCCCCGCCGGCCCGCACCAGCTTGGCGTCGAGAAGCTGGCCCGAGATGTTGTCGCGAATCTCCCCGTTCTCCCCGATGTCCCAGGACGCGGCGCCCTCCTCGCAGGCGACGCCCACAGTGAACGCACTCAGGTCGCCATTGACCTTCAGCTGCGCCTACAGGCCCCTGAGGGTCGCAGCCACCAGAGCCGGCGGGTAGCTCTGCGCCAGCCGCGCCTTCGAGCCTCCGACCAGAGGGACACGATCATGCCACTGGTCCCGCGGCAGGCTCTCGTTCTCGCACCGGCGGGAGACCTCCGCCAAGACGCACTCCGAGTTGCTCGTCCAGCCGGTGGGTTGAGGACCAAGCCCATCTGGCCGTCGAAACCGATCGATTGCTGGCCCCAGCAGCACTGGCGCCCCACAAAACGCGCGACACCTTCCATCTTCGAGAGCTCCATCATGAAATCCAGCTTGCAGCTCCAAGCACGGCCCGGGTGCTCACGCAGAAAGCAGCGCCCCTCCCTCACCTGCTTGACGTACATCCTCACGCAGAACCGAAGGTGCTGAATGCCCTCGACCACCTCCTGCTCGCACGCCTCTGGGTCGCGATCCTTGTTCAGGTTCATGATGGCACTGAAGGCCCAGCGCATCGGCGACGCAACCAGGAGGCACGGCTTCTCTCCATCGATGATCACCTCGCACATCCTCCGGCGATCTGGGTCCGACAGGCCCCACGGTACACCTTTCTCGTTCTTCAGGCTCATGTCGAAAGCGCGTTCGGGGCTGAGGCTGAACGACTCCGCCCTACTCGTAAACTTGCCCTGGCCGAACAACTCGACCAAATGCGCGTCGAAGAAGCCCAGCGCGTTGATGACGTCCTCGATCTCCTCCAGCGAGCCGACGTCCATGGCATTATCCGCTTCGAGGCGCGCCTCAGCACTTCCCCTCGCGCCCTCGCCCGAGCGCCCCTCCATCGCCACCGGCGGAGGTTCACCGCGAAGATCCCCAGGCCCAGGAGCTGCCGTACTCGGCGCCGCCGAACTCGATGCCGCTGCACCCGACGCCGCTGCACCCGATGCCGCTGGAGGTCGACCTTGATCTGCTGCCACGCCAGGGGCCGCGCGACCCCCCTCAGCCCGCGCCGCCCCTGGCTCGATCGCTCCCCGTTCAGCCAGCCTCTTCTCTCCACGTCGCCACTCAGCTATTCTCGCGCGCCTCCTCATCTCGAAGCCCTTTTCCATGAGCTTCGTAGCTCTCGCCCTGCAGGTCTCGCCGCGGCTGCGAGCTGGCAGCCCGGCCGCGTAGCTTTCGCAGCCTACGCAGCCCGGGGCGCGCCGGGACTTCTTGATCTCCACCTCGATACGGATGCGCACGCGCCGTGGCCCGGGAACTCCTCCTGAACCCGTGCCTGGCCGCGCTGCCCGCGGCTCTACCGGCAGAAGCGCCTCGTCGGGGCACCCTCTCGATCGGGGACCAGGCAGCCGGCACCTCGCCCCCGTCTCTGGGCGCAATTGGCACTGGCCGCCATGGTGAGCCCTGCAGCTTCTTCAAGAGCTCGGCGTTGTAGCGGTCGCCGCCGGCCTTCCGCTTGACCGCCCTGGCCCGGATCACGCCCGTCTCCGCGCCGATGTACAGCCCCCGGCTCGTGAGCTTCACTCCCAGGAAGATGCCAGTCAAACACTTGGCATCGAGCTTGTTCTTGCACCCCCAGTTCCTGTCCGCTGGCAGGTAAAACACCGTCTCGGCGAACGGCGGGAGCTCTCTTCGGCATTCCTTTCCACAAGGCCTCTCGCACGCCGCGCGCCCGCCCGCTCCCGCCCCAAACAGGCTGAGCACCACGCCGGCGTAGTTGATGAGCCACGGCACGATCGCGCGGTCGCGTCTGCTGATACTTCCTTCGCACTGGCGCTCCACCGCCAGCCTCAGAGTCCGCGCGATGCCGCCGACGAACTGAACCGCTCGCTCGATCGCGCCATTGGCCTGGTGCTCTTCCACCGGGCTCTCCTCCTTCACGATCTGGTAGGTCTCGAGACTCGCGATAACCTTGTTCTTCAGGTCCAGGATCGCAGGCCCCCGGTCGATCTTGAAGATGAAGTGCCTCGCTCCAGTGTACTTGACGGCCTCCACCACCACCTCGATAACCCATGTCTCTCGAGCTCCCTTGCTCATCACTACAATAATCACTGTCCGTCGCCCCTTGTGCTCACGCAGCACTAACGTCGGCGCCGCTCGCGCGTCGTCTCCACCGAAGCGCGCAGTCCATGGAAATCTCGTTGACTAGATGTTCTCGCTCTGCATCCGACCGTCCATGCTCAGCATTGCGGCCGTGCCCTCCGACGCAGTCTCCGCGCCGTGCTCTGCACCGCGCGTGCCGAACCGCCTCGTGCACCTCACGCTCGGCCGTCGTCGGCTCGAACGGTCTCGGCGCCAACAGACCAGTGGGCCCCCCATGGCCTCGCCCTCCTCGACCTGTGGCTGGGGCACAGCGGGCGCCGCCATAGCCGG